TTACATTGATTTCTAGACATAGTGAGTAGTAAATAAACATTGCTGTATATTAGCAGTTAAATATACCGTGAAGTCCACCGTTTACATTATTGGTATGAAACAAAGGTTACTTTAACTTCTCATTAATCACTTAAATTTAAATTAGACCATTACTAAATGAAGATGAAATAATTTTTAAAATGTTCTCTATTAGGAAAGAAATAAAGGAACAAAAACTGTTCTGGAGTATAAATTGATCAAAGGTTGTCCATAAAAAACTAAAATGAAGGATATTTTTTTGTTTTATTTATGCTCAAATGGTTTACGTCCACACCTTAGCCCCAAGGATGCGCCTGGCCACTGGCTTGTTTCGTCCTCCAGAGGTCCGCCGCAGCCTGCGCCTCCAGCAGAGCCTTGAGGTGGGTATTCCTAGCGGTGACCACCTCCGGAGTATCTGCCAGGTAGCCCGAGGCGAGCAGCTGCAGCATTGCTAGAGGTCCAGTGTACGGCGTGTTGTACATCTGTCCACCTCCGTGAGCCGTAGTCTGTGCTCCAGCTGCTGCATTCCCAGCTGATCCTGCTGCTGGAGGACCATATACCGGCGCAGGCGGTGATACCCCACCTGGAGCTCCATACATTGCTCCTGTTGCTGAAGCATCGTTCATAGCCTTGGTCAGGGTCTGTATGCCGGCACCTGGGGCACCGTAGACAGGTTTAGAGACTCCACCTCCTTGAGCTAGGGTCTGGTAGGACAGGATGCTCTGTAGAAGGTCCTCACTATGGGCTACAATACCGTAAAGGTGGTCTCCATACTTCTGTGGGTCATACTCGCCATCGTCCCTTCCCATGTCTGGATCCGATGCTCGGGCGGCCTCTAGGGCAGCGAGGTGGGCGGCTCGGGCGGCAGCTACGTCAGCAGTTTCAGCGATGGTTCCATCAGGTAGAATCATAGGCCCTTGGTATCCTTGGACACCCGGGTGTGCTGGTAGGTAAGTATTGGCTGGACTCCACCCCTGGTTGCTAGCTGCGGCGATATTATCTGGCGTCGCTGACTCCACCCCTACGTCTTTAGGATTGGAGTTTGACAAATAGTCTTTCTTGAGAATACCTCCTTCTGTGTAATTAGATGTGATGAGAACAACCAATAAGGACAGCACCTGAAAAGTAATTTCTAGTTAATTTTTTTTTTCTGAGTAATTTAATCAAATCTACTAAAACACAGATATAATCTTTGTAACAGTTCTGACATTTCACACATTTATGTCTATGATCTTTTAGGCTTCGGTTCTATAAGTATATAAATCCAATTCGTGGGAAAATAAGAATTAGGCTACTAGTATATATTTATTAGTTTGAAGTCTATTTTAAAGTACGCGTAAACCAATACAAAAAAAATACTTATAATATAAGAGATAAATAAATAATGAAAAAATTAAATAAAGAAAAAAAATAATATATCTATTAATTTTATGATAAGGCAGCTCATTACCTGATGGTTCATGTTGGATGCTGCGGAGGGAACTGTGTTGAGGGTTACAATGTTCAAGGCTTAAATACAAATCACAGGAAAGAATGACCAGTAGCGTTACAGAAGCTGAAGATGTTAATTGTTCTGGTATGATCTTGTGACGAGAGATGGAATGTAAGGGCTCCATGGGTCAGAGAGATAATTAACATAATGAATCTGCAGTTACGTGTACGTGGCTTTTACTTAATTTGAAAATGAAAGTGATACTACTGCAGTCCCTAGTTTTGGCAAATATCTTTACCATAGGTAACATGGTAAAACCCGGTACAAATTTAATTTTCTATTTTGATGTCCAAATTCTAAAATGTTCTATGTTAAAAACTATTCGTTAAAATCCGTATACTGTATATGTATATATTTATGTGGATTAGGCATATGGTACACGTGTGGGGTGGCATACGCTTGAATGAGTTCACAAACTATCAAGATCGGTTCATAGAAACAAAGTATGATAGGGTTTTGAGTAATGGGGTTTTTAATGACACTCTTAAACTACGAAAATGCCCAATTTTAAAAAGCCATCTAAATATAAAAGAGATAGTTAAATATAATTAATTAGTTAAAGATAATTAAAGAGCTAAATAAAACAAACATGTATATATACTAAAGCATTAAAGTGCGATTAAAGGTTACAGACATTCCAGTAAACTGTAAGTTTAAAGTGTCTATGTTATTTACTCTCATGGAGAAAAACATAACCGTTGTATTTTGCTTATATATAGGTGTATTTCTATTAATTCATTTATTTCGTCCTAAACTATTGGCATATGTAAAAAAACACGCTTCCCTTCCCTCTAACAGTAAACCTAAGTACTGTATTAATTAATTCTAATACAATTTAAATGGAGATTAAATCTGACATGTTTAAGGAAATATTTTAGTAAAACGGTAAAACTCTAGGCAGGCAAATGAAAACTCACTTAGTGTACAGGTTTGCGGTGGCGGGGGTAATTTCAGTAGCAATTTAAACCTGTTTTAAAAGTGTGATGGTTACAACCATTAGGCGTGCAGTGATTAAACATCACATTAAACGTAACATATTTTGTATTTATTTGATTTCAACAAATGATCTTCACAATACATTCTTTTGAACGTTTGCGGTTATTATAAAATCATTTTTGTATTTCATGACCATTCTTGGTATAATCATAACATTATGAAGATGAGCACAATGTCCATTTCCCAAAGCAAGTATTCGTATACACAGCTCAAAAAAGTAATAGTCTTGTACAACGATAGAACTTCTGTCGATAAGCCATTAGTACCTACCTATACAATAGACCACTGTATATCTAATTAAATGTCAATGCATCGTAACACTATTCATAGAGAAACGTGTCTGGGAGCCGCATTTTCCTTTTTTATTTTACCCAAATGGTTTTCAAGCCTAATTGGGACTTAAAATATTTTAAAAACAGGTAATGTATAATTTTAATTGCATAAAGGGATTCTCCATCTCGACTCCTGACCTACTCGGACGTTGAAGTCTCTTTAATCCCATATTCATACGGTATACATATAATTGCCCCGACAACCAAAATAAATGAAGCATTGAATTGTTTTTCATTGGATCGGTGGGAGTGACACCATGATTAAAAGTAGAAATCACCATTAAAGTAAGTAGAATTTAATGACTTGCATTTTATGGCTTACTTGCTCTCGATCGTGCACAAAGTCCACAAAAACCTATTATCTTTCAGACATTTCAGTGCAAACATTACGTAGTCTATACTGTATAACTAAGGTAGTTTTATGATGTAATTGTGGGGAAAGTTGATCTGTAACTATTCATTATTTATCACAATGGTAAAAAACTCAATACACTGTTAAATTCACAGTTAATACTAACCGTTACCCACGGGCTTCCCCCGTTTGACTTCATAAGTACTGCATTAGTAGAACCAAAGATTACATATGCTGTAGAACTATTGATTGGTTAAGTTAAGCTGAAATAGACAAAACAGAGTTCAGTAATACAAAGAAATAATCACACCTGGTTTTAATAAGGTAATACATTGAAAGAATAACATAAAATTAAGGACAGTTGAGGTATTTTTAACATCAGGTATATAAAACGTTCCCTTTGGAAAGCAATTACGTACGACCTTAAAGGGTAATTAATGAAATAATAGATAGTTTTGCGCAAGTTTTCTCGTCATGACGAACATTTTAAGTCTGTATGGTTTATGAGGGTGTAGTTTTCTCAAAAGTTCATGGGTACTTTGGCCTTTACAGTATTACGATACAACTTATTCACCAAAACGAAATTCTCACAGATCTAAAGAAACCTCAAAGTTGTTTATTCATCTTCATTTACCAAAATGTTGCGTACCTTCAGAAATACATATGCACTTCTTTTTGTTCTCATAAAATTTGCTTTATGAACCAAAATAACTGACAGGATATGTTACTTGCCAGGTCATCAGAAGTTTTACAGTTACATTGCGGTAAAATACAATATCTTTTAACGGTTTGAAACTAGACTCAGCAGTCTCTGTATTATGGGCTTTCACTAAACGATCCAGGCTGAAGATCTAACTAATATTAGTCAGTAACATAACACTCATCTCATTCATTCAACACAGATGATTCACTTATCTTGTCCTTAAAGTAAGTATCCTGGTATATCGGCGTTGTAAATGTGTGATCGAAACATAATGTAAGGTTGCATTTTTTCCTGACCTTTGAAGATGAATACCCCAAATTCAATTTAAAAGACACCTCAAATTTCAAACGATTAACTTAATTTGAATTTAGAACACCAATAAGTTATAGTGTTAGTAATGATATGTGATGGAATATGTGATGAGCTATGGTAGTTTCCCAGTTATTTTACTAAGGTACATTCTATTTGTTCCCAATACTAAACAACCTTTAATAATAAAACTAACTACTTACAAATTAGAGCGTACAGCCTCAACTAGCTATTCCGTGGTTTATTGCGTCCCTACTTTTTTTCTTATCTAACTCATTTTATTTGCTGGAAGTATACGAGTCTATTCACGACAAACGTTTGTAAACAACTAGTTATATTACAGTTCATATCTTATAGCTCACCTTGACAACAATGTTGTCAAACAATGTTATTGCAGGCATTTCATTTAAACATAAAATATCTTGACCTACATCGTCCCATAAACGCAAATCGCTTTGCGCAGATAATACTTATTTCAAATTATAAAAGGTTCCAAACCCCAGTTGACCCCTCCAACAGCATAGTGTTCAAAGTAGGCTATGACATGGTAAACCTAACCATACGGACTAAGTGACCCATATGTTAACACTACAGAGTATTTGTCATATACATTATCCACCCTTGCAAATGAGAGCAGGCTATGAGGCCAATGGGTCCATGATCGGCTTCATTGCCTCACTAGGCAGACAGCCGGTGCCTCGTTAAACACAGTTGCGATACCGGATAATTAGACACTTAACACGTTAATATTTGCCCAACATGTGCCCAAGTATATAAACCTGGGCCCCCGACAACACTGCACTCACTTCCATCATCATCATCAACATGAACTCTCTGGTAAGTTGGCTGCCACCCTTTACTTCACTAACGTAGACTTTTCGTAAACGTTAAAAAAACCTTTAACCGTGGTTTGTAACATTAACTAGGGTTTTGTAACCAGGCAAATCGTATAAAGTGTTTCTTGTAAAGTGAATAGTTAGTTGATGAAATTATTTTCATGTTTTCGAAGCTTAAGATTTGTTTAAATAGCCTACAGTAAGTAGGCTCTTAATTGTATTTTCTGAATGCATGTGAGCTTAGTCCAATTAGTCTAGAAGGCTTCCTCTACTGTAAAAATGTTCTCTATTATTTTACGGTAAAAAGCTTAGAAGACGCGTTCAAGATCCATAGCATTATATTCACTAGAAGTAGTTATTATTGATCCCGGTAGTTATTGGTTGATAAATCGGTTTTTATTTCTTTTATTTATAAGTTGTAAACGTCTAACTTATTTAATGATACATACTCAAACGTACTCCACACTGCATAGACACTTTATCCACTTACCTAGCATTAGTAACTAAGCATGACAGCTACACAACCAAATATACAACCAATGTATTAGTTTTAGAATGCTTTATCAACGGTTTGGTTGAATAAAATTACTTAAACACTATTTACCTTGCTAACAACCTTATTAAAACGTACGTAGTAAGACCTCCTTTTATACTTAAGTAAATTGTATGGGCAATGGCTAGAAATAAATTTTAATAGTTCAAATCTTTTGGCATATTAGGTAAGAAGTAAGTAAAACATGGTTGTTGTTATAAATTAATATACATTTTTAGCGCCAAATGCATTATAAAACTGTCAAAATCACTTATCAGTTGAATAATGCGTATCAGTTGTATTTTCTTATAACTGCATAGTTTCTTTCTGGAGGACAGATATGCTCTATGAACTATAGTCAGGCATAACCTATAACCATAGATTGCGCTTTACTCTTTCACATGAAAACTCATTTTTGCAACAAAAGTAGTATGCCTTTAAATCCTAATTACTCTTGAAGTCGTACCTTGTAGATTGTACTTAGATGGTGGAATATATATGTCTCTTGTTGCTTTATTATATTGTTTTAAAACATTATTTATAGATTGAAATAGCAAGGTTTTCTAAAATATTTACTAATAAAATATCAAGAGTTCTGTTCCGTCAATGGATTTCAAAGCAGTGTCTAATGCATGTATTTGATTGATAAGGCAGTGATTTTGTTCCGCAATGAATGATATGACTAATTTGTACTTGCCACTTATCCAGTAAAAATTAGTAAAATATAGAATATATTAGATATCTTGTTTTACATTTGTAGTGCACACTTTGCCTAGGAACTCTTGTTTCGAAGTTTTATAGGTTTGAGATGTCATAAAAATGTCAACATCTTTTAAAACTAATTTTATTAGATTTTTTGGTTACAGAATATTTACCTGCCTGAAAAACGATATTATATGTATTTGTTCTCGGTCAACACAAATGCCATCTAAATATGTAAATAATAATAATATACAAACTAACATAAAAAAAAACATAAGATATCACATACTTGTTACCATAAACTAAATGTGTTATTTTTAAAACTTAAAAATGTTGATACATATCAATTAAATCCAGAAGCATATTTTAAAATGTGACACATAATTCATGCATACCTAACAGTCGTAAAAAGAGTTAAATTAAAATCCATTGGTATATTTATTTTTATACAGCTTTGCTCTTTTAGGTATAGTTTTGAATAATCTATGCAGTAGCTAATGGTATTTTTATAGATTTTTAGTTATGTGGGCTTGGAGAGGACTTGTTGTAAATCGTGCATTTAAATTAACTCAACCCTTAACTATGCTTGTGTAGAAAGTATCATTGAAAGTATCATACTTAGTGTAGATTTAGCTTACAAACCTTCAGCGTTCTGGTTATGAGATCATTTTATTAGAATTAATTTACGGATAAACATATGCAAGTTTTGTTGTCTCTTTACTTTATTCCATTCAAGATTTTGAGGATTGCATATAACGTCATCGTTACACAATAATGTATTTTTCCAGGCCGTGATCTTTCTGGTGGTCGTAGCTCAGGTCCTAGGGGCTCCCAGCTACCACGGACCCGAGGCCAAGCCTGTGGTGTTGCCTAGCGGACACTTGGCAGACACCCATGAAGTGGCGGCCCTCAAGAGTCTGCACCTGGGTGCGTTGTCACAGGCCGGAACCCACGGCCACGGCGACCATCATGACGACGGCGACCACGGACACAGCGGCGCTGCCTATCATGGACCTCACGCTCTACCCAAGGTATACATTCAAACACCTTAAGGTTTTATTTTGAAATTATTTCATTCAAGCATGACTAAAAACTCTCTTCGTACAATTATTCCAAGACTTATACCCAGACTCTTGAAAGAACAGGATACTTATACTGTATAGCTCTCTACAGGGATGCAGTATGTCGAATATGCGTTAAAATGAATTTTAATACAGTTAAATATTTAAAATCTCAAGGTCTATTCGCTGAAGTTAAATCCCTCCAAAGATTTTTCACACGTGTATTCTCTTATGTCAATATTAGTTGAAGTTTTGTGTCCCTGTGTTATAGTGTCACTGATTTCAATGTATGATGTATATTATTGAAGTTTTGTTTTCGTGCCAGGTGTTACCGGACGGTCACTTAGCCGACACTCATGACGTAGCTGCCGCCAAGGAAGCTCACCTCGCCGCCCTGGCCGAGGCTAAGAGCAAGAACCCTGGTGGAGACTACAGCGAGACATCTTACGACAGCCACAGCCACCACGTGACCACTGACAGTCATCACGGCCAGTCGTACCACGGACCCCTCGCCAAGCCCGTGGTCCTCCCCTCAGGTCATCTCGCAGACACCCACGAGGTCGCCGCTGCCAAGGGAGCTCATCTGGAGGCCGTCGCCGCACAACACCACTAGTCACTCACTCACTGTTGCCATATGACAAGACCATCTGTATATAACCATTAAAATATTATGATCATAAGCTGTGTATTTCTTGGTGATCGATTTCATTTTCAACCTTTTCCCCTTTGATTTGTTATAATGTAAGGTTTATAGATAAAATGAGAAAATGGTGGAAATGGAAATGGTCAAAACGGTTAAATTGCTCTGGCATCATTTTTTTTGTATAATCACTTAAATTTTGAGTTTATATACCAGTGCTTCATAATTGGTGTAAGTTTAAAACGGTAAAATATTTAAGTAGGGTGTTTATAGTTTGCTAAAATATGCATTACAGTATATTTGCACAATTCAGAATAATACGATACTATTTGTCATACTTTTGTCTCGCATCTTCCTTGACATATTACCGCATGAATGTCATACTGTACATGGCGTGTCAATAAAACCACGCATGCTATTTCTGTTTTATAATTATGCCCTAATAATTTTAATTCTAGATCTTCCTTAAATCGTTAGTTACATCAATTCTTGAAAATAATTGTAGTATTATTAGTTGTGATTAATGATTAAAATACGCCATCACAAATACATAAAAGAGGGTTAAGAAAACCCCATTTTTAAATTAATTTTATAGCTTCTTACCTAAACAGGTTTACCTATAGGTTCTAACGGTAAACAGTATTTTTTCTAATCAGTTTTAACTTGTGTGAGGGAATCTTTATCTAAAAATGGTATAGACCAAATTCAGTTGTTCTAGTGATTTGAATTTGTGATTCTTGAGTTTTATTTGAGTCTGTAAAGGCGATTTATAGGTAAGGAGTATTTACTAGGAAAGTAATGAATGTCCTTAATCTTTTGAAAACAAATTTATCTAATTAGTTTTCAAGAAGAGATAAATTAATAAAACTAATTCTGTTGGTAAATTATTCTACAAATCGTTGACTTTTGTGACCTCTCCACGAAGGCTCTGTCTCAATGGCGTTCATCAGAGCTTGGAGATGGGCGATTCTTGCCTGCATGACCTCTGCGGTATCGGCCAGATAGCCCGAAGGAAGCACCACTGGACTGGCCGTGGGTCCCGAGTAAGGAGCAGCGACAGTGAACGGGGACATTCTTCCACCTCCTGCTGCTGATAATGATGAGTGAACCTGGGTAACAGCAGTTGGGGGCTGTGATCTAAATGATTTGCTATCATGCGAGCCTTTCTGCAAGAGACTGTTGATTCCAAGAGCATATTGATTAAGAGCTATCGGTTCATGTATTTGTGAAGTTATCGTTGCTGCTGATGAACCATGAGTTGCCTTCAAGTTCGAGTTAGACTCTCCTGGATAACTCATTTGATGATTGAAACTAGAGTAAAGGGTGTTTTGTAGTGCTCGAACTCTTGCTGCATAGTCCTGAGCAGCTTTGGCTTGTTCAAGATAATATTTTGTGGATTGGATTTGGTATTTTCTTTCTTGTTCAATGCGGGATGAGACTTCATGTCTAGTAGCATCGTTAACGTATGACAAAGGATTTTGCAGTGAACTGTAATCTCTTAGATGAGGATAGTTGCCATCTTCGACATTATCATAGTCTTCCTCTGTCCCTCGAAACATGTTCAATGGTTGTGGATTTCTATACGAAGCTGAGAACGGTTTTTGAATAGTTGGAGCTGCAACGTTATACATTTCGAGATAACTCCAATTAGGTAAACTAAATCCATTGTGTGTTTGAGGAGACTTTTGCATGGTTTCTGTGTTGATTTTCTTGTGTTGATCGCTCTCCTGAGAACTTAGAGAATCCAAATTTCCAGATAAATGTTTGTTATTACTGAATATTGCTTGTGTGTAGCTGTCACCTAACGACTCATCGTACTGCATTGGATAATCAATAATGTTGTATGATGGCGTAGTAGATCTTGGGGCAGGAAGTACAGAATTGTCAATAACTTCGTCTTTAGTTGTGGTTGTTGATGGCTTCTCAGGATAAGAAGTTTGTCTCTCTTCCAAGGAATCGTCATAGTATTCTTCGGAAGAGGAAAAATTCTCAGAGCTCGTTGACGAGGAGGAGGCGTTAGAACTCACTTTGTCTCCGTATTCGCCTCTGATGGAAGATATGCAGAGAACAGCCATCGTGATGACACCCTGAAAATATGAAATCTGTGTTATCTAATACCTTACTACAAAATGATGGACTGGTACATTGTGGATAGAAGTACTGATTCTTGTTCAATTGCTTTTTGGAGTAAAAAAAGTATAACGTAATATATCTTGGGGAAAGTGGAACGTTGTTTGGTATAAAAACAATTATTTACTTTTTGTGTAAGCTTTTAACTGGGTATCGATTGTATTGTATAGTATGCATATACCCTTAAATTTGCCAAAACTCTAAATTTAAACACTAACTCATGTCCAGATCTTCAGAGGAAAAACGATTTTCAACAATTAAAATCACGTTAAAATCAGTTTAAAATGGATCAAATACGTAAATAAAACTTATTCAATTTACTCACTGTTTTTGCATATTAGTTACTGCAATAGTATCTAAATAATTTCATTACCATAGGTTACTTTTTAACTATTTTATATTTACCTACTCACTATTCAACCCTAATTTTAATATTACCATCGATATCATTTACTTAATTTAAAAAGTAAGTATTTAGATTTTTTGTTTGTAACATGATTTTTTGTCTTTGGCATCACAATAAATTTTAAACTATCACTAAATACATTTACTATAGTTTTATTTATGTTTAGTAAAACCAGTTTCACTTTAACCAAAAAATTTTAATATTCGTAAACATATGTAGGCCTACTGCAACATAATTCTCTTCGTCAATTTACTTAGATGTATTATACTCGTATATGAAATACCATTTGATTCCCTGTTGATTTAATTTTATATATAAGTAAATTTGTATAATGGTAAGTTATTACAAATTGTTTAACATAGACTAATCAGAGTATGCAAATCTGTTTCAAGTAACCATGTTTGTATTTTAGACATATACCTACTGTAAATTTTAAAACCAAAAATACATTCTAAAGATATATACGTACCCAGCATCTCATGATGACCAACAGACAGTTAGTGATGATGGAGATTGCAAGTCGCAGATTTATACCACTGAACATAGTTAATATTCAGCTAGGCTGGCCTCATAACCAGCAAACAGTGCAAGGAATTCGGAGATGTAATTATATTGAATAACCTCTGACTCCTACAGCATGCTTAGCAGGTTGGTATCGCCAAGCACAGTAAAGAAAATATTTACATCAAACATTGTGGGTGGATGCAAGCTTATAGGCCTCAAACGAACTAAGGATTTCCACTTTAGGGGACATTTAAAAATAAATATTAATATTGAAATAAAATACTGATAGTTAAAATACCCCCGCCGCAGCAAACCTGCCGACTAAGCGAATTTCCATTTGCCTGAATTGATCTTCAGTTAAATATATTTTAATAACATTAGGTTTAACGAGTACCTAGGTTTGCTGCTACAAGGAAACTAATTAAGTGTGTTTTTGAGTAAAATATTGATAGCTTAGTACAAAATAAATAAATTTGCCAAGTTTGATCAAAATATATCCATAAACAAGCAAACTACAACATTTGACAATATTCTCCATAAGAATAACATGGGAATTTTAAATTTACAATTTTTTTAATTTTCTCCGTTACTAATAATCGAACAAAAATACTTTTATATACTAAATTTTTTGTTTTTTCAAGCTCTTTAAAAACGTCTAAAGAGAAATCGGGAAATTTTGTGTTTTGAGGGTCAAAAGTGAGAAAAACCAATTTTTACCCCATAAAACCCCCCGTAAAGCCCCGTTCCCATGGTCCGATCGCTCTGGTTCGCGAACTCATTCAAGATTATCCCGCTTTACACCTTTAAACCAAATTTCATCAAAATCGGACAAAAATTACTCAAGTTATCGCGTTCACGGACGTATATATATATATATATATATATATATATATACGTCCGTGAACGCGATAACTTGAGTAATTTTTGTCCGATTTTGATGAAATTTGGTTTAAAGGTGTAAAGCGGACCTATATAAATATAAATTTGAACGAATGGTGTTTTTGGCCTCTGGGGACATCAAAATGAAAAAGAAAATCGGTCCCGGGTCTAGGTCTTACCGTGCCACCTACGGTAATAGCTACTTCCCTATAGGAAAATTCGCTAAAAACAACTAAAATTATTAGAAGATGATGTTAAGTTGACAGCTGAGTTTTTAAATACAGAAATTAAATCTAAAATGCAGAATACATTTTTAGGTTAACAATCGACCATAATTTAAACTGGAAAAAATACATAACAATAGCCTGAGCTCTGCTTGTTTCCAAATGCTTGTGTTAAGAGATAGAACTGTTTTAAAAATTAGATTAATGGTTTATTTTGCATATTTTTATTCCATAATGAAATATGGAAATGTGCTATGAATTCATCGGTTTTTTTGAGAAAAATATTCAAGTAAAAAAAAAATGGTTCGCATTATGGCATTCGCGGTCACGAGTCCCATGTAAGCCAACCTTTAAACGGTTAGTATTATAGAGCTTTCCCTCTCTTTATATACATTCATACTTACTGTTCTTTCAGAAGAATTTTGATCTTCTTTGTGGACAGCATCATTTACATGCATACAACACAAGGAGCAGAGACAATTTTGAATACCAAATACATAACTTAACAATCTATGAAAAATGTACCAGTTACATGGGTATGAAGTTTTTTAATAATCTACCTGCAAACATTAAAAGCCAAATCCGTTTAAAGACTTTTAAGAACACACAAAAAATTATCTTTTAAACCAAGTATTTTACTCTGTAAGTGACCTTTTACAAAATTAAACAGTATTATTATATGTAGCTATTATGTTCTAGACTCAGACAAAAATGTTCTGTAATTGTATTTTTAGGTTAAGATTGAATTGATAATATGTCACCAGTTTTATAGCTTAGCTAGGTACAAATGTTTTTATGTGACAATTAAGTGAATTTGAATGCATCTCTCTGTGGGTTCATCATTCACCAATCATAAACTACTCAAATTTAGGCTGAAATCTAAATGTTATGAAAAGATGGGTATCTTAAGAAACATTTATTCTATTTCATGATTTTTCAGTTACAACAATCCAAAACCTGCAATGATTGTATTTTCAGTGTTTACGTATCTAAAATGCTATTCGATCTTAATCCATACAATGCTGCAAAGCAAGAGTAAGTATCCCAACATCGTATTTGTCTTAAGGGTTTGGACTATTTAAAAATGGAACAAACAAACAAAAATTCCATCACACTAGTGATGTTTTTTATTTCTCTGTGGAAAGCGGTGTGAATATTTTTTTACAAAGACATATTTCCAGATGTTAACCCCTTAAATTCTTTATTAGCATATAATTTATCTTACTAATGAATCATAAGTCGTAAAGAAAGTTTTCCAAATAATTATTAATTTAATATTTATATGAATCCTTACAACCGTGGAAATTTCAAAGCCATACGATATCGGCTATACGTTATCAACCTAAATTAGCCTACTAGTGCAGTATATTATCTTGTTGTGCATTCTTCTGTTACAGTGCAACCCCGTCGTCAGTTATATTGGCTTTAAAGGTGAAGTTAATCTCCACTAAGACAAGGTTAAATAAACATAAGGATATCAAGTACGCATTCATCAAGCAGGATAAAGGGCAGATTTTATTTATCTCAGTAATATATTCAAACAGATCATAACTCTGCGTAAGTGAGCAGTGTAGATACAGTACATTAAGTGGCTGACATGGCTCGTGTGCACCTAGCAACGTATCACATGAAATGTGGCGCCGTCATAGTCGTAGTGTCTACCTGTCTTGTAAGGACGTACAGTAGTACAAATAACACAACTGTAATATGAACTGAGAAACGCTTGCTAATAACCTTTTTATTTATTTAATACACAAGTATTTTTATAATAACTACTATTCCAGTAATGTATTACATACAGTATATTTATTACATTGGTTTTCATGATGTGGATGTATTGTAATAATTTCTAAACGCTTACTAGCTTATCACTATCATATAAATATTTAATAAGTTTATTGTTTGTACACAATTTTACCAAAATGATTTGTTAGAAAAGGCAAACATAATTATTACTGATATTTTCATTTCAATGGTTTCCTAATATTAACCTTATTAATATAACGTTTTCGAAGTCTTTATATTTCAACTTTTAAAATACCTTGGATGTCGTATAGTAATAGCGATTCTGACTAAAAGTTAGTTGACTGCTTTATGTTTATGATGTAACAATATAAGCTGTAAAACAGTTTATACAATTTAAATTTAATCTACGAAGAAAAATCCTTTATTGACAGCCCATGTTTTTTTTATACTCACAGAACGGACAGATAGTCAATTTGTTCCGCTATTTGCATTATTGTAACCTTGTTAGTTTTACATCAACTTATTTGTCGTCAACATACTAAGATATGATTTGGTGCAGTATTATTACGCGTTACAATCAAACTGAAGCCAGTAGTAGTGTGATGAAACCGGCTGCAGTCAGCTTAAGCATGCAGCTAGATCGTTAAGCTTCAACCATGACATGGTACGATACCAACAAACGGTTCTGTTATTGCAGCTGCACATGCAACATTAACTACTGGACATTCCAATATAAACGGGAGCCTTAGACTAAGCTGGTGTCGCAAGATGGCCACAGTTGTGGCGATATCTATGAACGTGTGCGGTTGAATAATTTCATCATCAACAAATTGGATGTCACGGGTGACTGGGTGGTTTGCCAACGGCCTGTATCAGACAGTGGCCGGTGGGTGGCGAGTCACCAGTAAATCATTGTCAGTATAACCACTTCGTGCCACTCGTTGAACCATGCGGAATCTTATAAGGCTAGTGGGGTAAATGCAGTTAAAAGAAAGTGTTTCATTAAGAAATAATATAGCTTTGCAGAAATAAGAACTAAATAAAATGTTGAAAAGAATATAGCCTTTTATATTGCTTTGGGAATTGTATACTTTACATGGTGTTCCGTAAGTAAAAAACAAAACTCCAGGACAAGGTTCCGTGGGTCAAAATAAAGATAAAATCAAGAATAACATTTTTTACAAAGTCGCTTCGTTAAATAGATACCCGCCATTTTGTTTTTTTTTCACATAAACATTTTTATCTTTGAGTTTTTTCAACTGATCATTACGAAACTTTGGTATGTATATTGAGGTAAAACAGACCTACGTCAGAAAACAAATTATCATAATCCAATTGAAAGTTTCAAAACGGCAGCCGTTTTATTTATTTTTTATATTTCAAACTGCAAAAAATGGCAAATTTTTTAACAATGTCATAAAATTCTCTTCCAGCGTACCCTAAAAGTTTATCAATATTTATATTTATTTTAATATTACTAATTGGTACCATCTCGTCCATATGATAACTTAACAAGGGTTGAGGAATTCAAAGCAAGTAGCCTGCATTGCCAGACTTGGTTTGTGTTTTAAGATCAAACCTTTTTAGTAATATGATAATTCTCTTACAATAAGTTCAATCATTCTGCAATCATCCACATTTTAACCAAGAGGTTGATCCCAGACCTCCCGGTGTGGGTTGGACCACAAATTTGGGGGGCTGCTGATTTAATTTTACATTAGTTTTTAAAGTATCTTTGATAAAGATTATATAAAAGAGTGCGGCGCATTGCGCTGATAGGACCCATTGTCATATATATTCTCTGTTATTGAAATTGAGTATTGGTACTGGTAAATGTACATTGATGTTGACTCCCTTAACTTTATTTTATTTAACCTATCGTAAGCTATTGTATTTGGATGCACCTAAAAATAATGCACTTATAAAATACTTAACAATAATATAGCCTTTATTGTTACTGTAATGATTTTATTTGTTTTTATCAGTGCTGCATTCCGGCGGCAGCGTGTGGTTTCCAAGCTTCCTGTGCCTTGAGTAGGGCTGAGAGATGAGCAGCCCTCAATGCCGCAATTTCTGGGGTGTCAGCCAGATAGCCCGACGGTAGTACCATGAGCATGGCCAAAGGTCCGTTGTAAGGAACACTTCCAGCTGCATCTAATGATCCACCTTGTACTTGACTACTGTGCCAGTACCTCCTGGAGGAAGGTAGTTCTGGCTGTTGCCTTCCAGGGAGTTGGAACCAGGGGAAGGATAGTCGTATCCTTCACTGTTTGCGGATGATGATCCACCTTGTACTTGACTACCACTTGTGCCAGTACCTCCTGGAGGAAGGTAGTTCTGGCTGTTGCCTTCCAGGGAGTTGGAACCAGGGGAAGGATAGTCGTATCCGTCACTGTTTGCGGATGATGATCCACCTTGTACTTGACTACCACTTGTTCCAGTACCTCCTGGAGGAAGGTAGTTCTGGCTGTTGCCTTCCAGAGACTCGGAACCAGGTTGAGGATAGTTGTATCCGTTATTTGTACCTTCAACTCCCTTGTTGGTGCTCATCTGAGACCACAAAGACTTTGCCTTGTCCAAGGCTGCGAGATGAGCGGCTCTAGCGGCAGATACATCCGCAGTGTCGGCGATGTGGCCATCCGGCAGCACCATCAACATAGCCACGGGGCCGCGATATCTGCTGTCATAGTCCATGGACACTGGAGGGTAGCCACTACCACTGCCTGGTATGGAGTCACCTCCTTTACCAGTGTTGAACGGGACATCTGGAGACTCCTTTGGGTAACCCTCTGCTTGCACGTTTGGGAGCAAAATTGCAAGAACAGCGAAGCAAACTTGATTCTGAAATTTAAAATAGATCCATAGAATATAAACTGTCATATATCATAATCATAAATAATTATTTCAATACGCATAAACCTTTTTAACTCATTACCTGTATAAGCCCCTTAAGTAAGTATCGTTGGACAACATGTCATCCAATTCGATAATGCTTCTTTTGATTTAAACAAACATTTAAATAAAAACCTACCATTTTTAGGAGATATGGCAGTGAAATAATGATTTTTTTCAAAAAAGTAATTTTTTTAAGTTTGGCTATTATTTATTATTTATAATGCTGAAAAAAATAAAAAAATTTAGTTTTTTAGTTTGTAAACTATATTTAGAAAAATACAGAAAATAGTTTTGAAAAATCCGGTGATTGACGTATTTCAATAATAAGACATAAAATAAAAATGTAATAATAATAATTATTATTATTAATATAATAATTAAGTAATAATTACATAATAATATAATAAATAATAATAAAATGATCTAATGAACATGTAAATTGATACATAACTTAAAAATAAGTAACACCATGGCTACACTACCCAGTTAAACTTTTAAAGTGCGATTCCAGCAAATCAGATTTTTAACATTTGTTACTTCTAAATTTATCTTCAAAACAATTTATGCTACATGATTCAAATTTTAACCAAGTGTTTAGAATGTTATTATCTAAATAATTAGGTAGAATTGTAAATGTATGTCTATTCTAAAGTGAATTTTTTTGTATTTTCATAGAAAACCAATTTCTTTTTTTTTTACAAAATGACCCATAAAAAGTAATAAATCAAGACACATTTATAATTCTACCTAAATATTTAAAGGCGAATTATTCCCTGCAAACTGACGGTTTAATGATTAAAATCAAATAATTAGAACTGAAGTTATATCAAATTTAGTTAATGGCCTAAAAAAAACATTACAAAAAATACTAAGAATGTACTTAACCAAAAGATTTCATTTTAACTACGTTTATACGTATTCTTATGCCTATAAAAAAACATGGTATAAGTTGGAAAGTGATAATGTTAAGGAAGATAGCATTTTCAATGACATATCCCCCAAGAAGAAACAATCTGTAAATATTTAATTTTACTAAAGGTAATCAAAAGGATATTTGAATGTTTAATTTTCGAATGTTAACGTGTTTACAAACTCTATCATGGTAAAGGGTAAAAAACAGAAAATAATTGATTTTTAGGTCTTACCATGTTGTTTAGTTGAAGATGTTATCGACAGCGGGTTGAATGCTGCTATGATTCGTCTATCTGCGACTGTCTGCTATAAAACTGTCTTGATTGCCGTGATAAAGGGCAATTCTTCAGCTGGAGGAGCTACATAATGTCTATGCAAATGCAATGTTGCCATTTCTAAACCGATGAATTAAAATAGTTTGTCAAGGGTGAGGGAAAACTGCTGAATATATTGTTGAAGTGAATTTATGGAAACCACCTCTTTTATTCGACAACTTGTACATCTCAACTCGATATCTGAAAATATATACTTGTCGACAAAAAAACCTCGCAAAATTTATGTTTTTATTTTCAATAAGTGTACCAGCTTCCTCTAGCCATTCTAATGATTCGCAATAAGAACATAAGAAAACAATAAATGTTGTTATTTACCTGTGCTACACAAGTCCCAGTAAATCACCAAAATATTTAATGTTTCGGTTTTAGCTAGATAGTGGTTAGTTATGCAATAGAGAATTTGTTATCTTTTACATAACTGAATGGTAAATGGTTGCCCTGAAGACATTGATAACATATCAGGGGCAGTGAATTTGGCGGTGGCCGCGACAGAGGAAGAGTGGCGATGGAGTGTGACAAGTAAGTGGACCGCAGCGACGACAAGCCACTTACTGGGCTATCAGACAGCGGCTAGCAGGAAACTGTCAGCACTATCTGCTGGGAAAAGGTATACAGAGCTATGTGCACATATAGAAAAGATGTCCGATTTGTCTACTATTAGAAATATTAATTAAACAATTATGGTGTATAAGTGGTTTCATTGACCGTTGGATAGAAATTATACATCCTATATTCTATAATGATCAGCCGTAGCCTATTTTTGTTCAACAAGTGTGATAGTATATTTGTTTGATACCGTCGAAACCAATATTTTCTCCATTAGTTTTAGTGACTGAATTAGTTAGAGCTAGTTAGAGAGTTAGAGAGTGAGTTAGAGTGAGTTAGTTAGAGAGAGAGATCAGTATTCACATAAGCACACTGTGTTATTGGCTTGATATATAAATAATAATGGAGCAGAGGACAGTTCAATATCGTGCTCTGGCTATACTTTAATGATAGTGAGATTGTCACAGGTATACAATGATCATTTCGTAACAATTTCAATTTTCCCAACCCAAGTGCTGTTCATCGTAGGAATGCAAATGAAATTGTATGTACAATTTTATAAATAGTGCTTTCACATAAAAGTAGTAACAACTGGTATGCCTAATACTGTGTATACTATTTTATAGAGGTTATTTTTTGGGACATCTCATGTCCTGTCCGGTCCCAAGATCTAACGGTTTGTGGTTTTAAGTTATGGGGCTACCTTGAGATCAAACTTTTTGTGACGAAACGTCACACACTTGTTGGTTTGTGGAATTGTATAACCAATGGGGTTGCTGCAGTACAATCCTGTTCGAAGTGGATGTAAGACTTCTACGTAATGTCTTCTATGCATGAAAATGGCATTACTATGTATAAACTTTGAACACTTCATCAATTAATTGCAAGTATTATCAGCTTAGTAGTAATTTTAATGATTAAACTGTTAGGTCTATTAATTACAACTAATTAATTACATTTTTATAAGTATCGCTTGGTTAACTTCTGTTTTATCCTTTCCAACATTTTTGTGAAAATACATTTCAATAAATGTTTACCTACAGTTTCAATGAAAAAAATGGGGATTTTAAATATGTTTTCAGTGAGCTTTAATTTCTTTCTTTATGCAATTGTTGGAACTATTTGCAGGCCAACTCATTTACATTCACTGTACGTCTGAATACCGACAGTACTCTCCGCTCTACTTTCCCTGGCAAGTTTCCTGCAATTAATTGAGGTCTTTATGATCCTGACTGCCGAATCTCAGGTGATGTGTTTGGAAATTCACCATCATTACTAGATTCCAAAACAGTAGCACATTATAATATTAGAAGGGTGATATACATCCCTTAGAGCACCCTTCTATATGCCCTGATTTTATAATCAATATTATTTTCCATGCCAGTTCATAGCAAATGCTTACAGAAAATGTGATTGGCCTGATGTAAAGGGCCTACAAATTTTAATTTAAGTTATTAAATTTTTTAAGTTATTATCATCAATCAGTCTTAAACAGTAAAATATTTATTAAAATAATCGAATTTTATTGATGCTTTTACGATAAAAAGTCAATTACATTTTGGTTTTGCCTTGAAGTTCTTATATCATTAAATTTGTATCCTAGGAATTGAATAACATTAAGAACTTCAAGGCAAAGCAAAAAGGTAATTATTTATTAAATTATTATTATTAAATTACTGTTCTTGAAACTGGGTTATATTACAGATACAAATTAGGTAATCATAACTTATGTATGATGATAAAAAATACTTCTTAAATGTATGTTTCATACTTATGACAACATCGAACAGTATGTACTATTGGTTTAAAATAAAATCTTTGAACTCCCTAAGTCGTAATCTATGTTAAAAATTGGAATTAAATCCATAAATGTTTTTTTTTTTTAGATAAGCTCAGATAATTTAGTAAAAGATTTACTACATTTCAAGCGGAGGCTAAGCTTATATTTGTTCAACGGCTTGACTTGTATAAAATAGATAAAAAATGTGCTTTCAGGTAAAATATATCGACATCAAGCTTCTTATTTTGAAAATTGTTTGACTACAGTAAAATCACAAAAAGTTTGGATTTAGACAAAAGCTTTGAAGATGTAAAGTCAAATTTCTTAGATGGTCGAATACATTTAAAAGATATACGTAGAGTTAAAACCCAGCAGTAGAATAAAATTTTATTAAACGGATATTATATTTCCAGTAAAATACAAATCTCAATAAAAACGTTTATAGTTTTTTATTAGCTAAAAGTCCCTACTTATAGAAAAATCGAAATATTTCGAGTATCCTACAAATATATTAGTCTTATTCATGTCATATTTATGATTAAAAAAACACAAAATGTTCGGCATTGCAGAAAAGCAATATCTATTTAGTTTGAATAGTCATTCTCAATGAGAGCAATAATTAAACTGAATAAACAGATTATTGGGGCACGGCCAAAGCCATTGCTCCATTGCATCGCCAGAGCTCTCCATGTACTTCCAAGTGAACAACCCTAACGTCGAGAAGATGACTTCCAGTTACTGTAATATTATATTTCCATATGCTCAGGCAATGTAGCTAAACAGTAAATAACAGAAAAATATGAAAGTTTAAATTGTTTAGGGATTTTAGTAATTTTTCTCTATCTATTTTTACTAGAAGTAATTTCTTGAAGTTAACTAATTAACTTTGTCAACCACAACCCCTGGCCTAAACTACTCTCATGTAGACTCCCAATGAACTCAAATTGTTTTGTCATGATTTTCTAGATAGCATAACACTTCCGTTCGGTATTTTGACCGTTTAGTTTAATTACTACGGCAGAGGAGGAATAATCTGATTAAAATGTTAATCTATTTCATACAATGTTTTGCTAGACTGTAGACTGTATACTATACACTATAAAGGAACTATGTTGGACATTGTAATGCTCAGCTATATTGCTATACTGTTGTTTGTAGACAGTATACTATACAGCAAATATACTGGATATATCTATACTTGATACTGTGATGCTCAGCTATATTGTATGCTATACTGTAGTTTGTAGACAGTATACTATACTTGATACTGTAATGTTCTGCTATACTCTATGCTATAATGTAGAATGTATTCTATAGAGCAACTATATTGGACACTGCAATGCTCAGCTATGGTGTTGGTAGTACACGTGCTGTTGGTGCTCGGTGGTCGGTGGTTGGTGGTCAGCGGATATCGGGTTAGCAAACATCTACATCAGACACAGGGGGAGGGAGGAGCTCGTGAATTAATTGGGAGAGGTGATTGAGGAAGTGGTCACATAACATAACCCGGCAATGCAACAAGTCCTAGTTTCCAGGCGACCGATTCTAGCCTCATACGAAATCGAGGGGGGGAATAAAACGTGTGTACAACTATATATAGATCTCAGACCCACCTCCTTATCAGTGCATTCGACCTTATCATCATGAACAGTCTTGTAAGTATAAGCCGATTTTATAACATGAATTTTCATCCGAATAAAATTATTAATGTTGATTTTAATTTATTCTTCTATTGATATAATTCTCGATTATAAATAAATGTATACAAAAAGTACTAAGTGTTACAGCTAATAGATATTAAAGTCGTTTAAATGGCTTAAAGTGTTCATTGTTCTCTAAAAGGTCAGCAAGGAATTATTTTGCCGGACTGTAACATCAAACACTCATTTATATAAAACTAGACAAAAGTGTTAGTAAACTATATAAACATTTGCTCAAAAAGTATAAATTTGAAAAAGGTCAGCAAGGAATTATTTTGCCGGACTGTAACATCAAACACTCATTTATATAAAACTAGACAAAAGTGTTAGTAAACTATGTAAACATTTGCTCAAAAAGTATAAATTTGAGTTATTAGTTCTGTTTACATTATGCTTGATTATGTTCTTATTATTTTCGTTTGGTTTTTGTATATTTTCTAAACAATAGACTGTATTGATACCGCGTGTATCAATTCTGAGTCTATACCACAACATAATACCGTTACAGTTAGAAACATTATTATAACAGATTAATATAAAAGGCCATTAACCAACTATAGTAACCGGCTGCCAAATAAATGAAATTAATGTAGCTTGGGAAACTATAATCGTCTATTGTCCTTATAAATATGTAATTTTAATTACTCTATGTAATAAAGAACAACAGGTTGATCCAAAAGAAACAGCCTAGCACTATAAAGTAGTAGTTTAAAGAATACAAAATTTATATGGCTATTTTTTATGATAAATGATTCTTTAAACACACCCTCACAACTCCAGGCAAGGATTTAGGAGCAACCCAACCCTGTTTTTGGAACCAACCTACTGAAATGATTTATTAGTTAAAAAAACAACTCCTCATATTTATTCTTAAAGTGAAGGTGGTTCTACCTGAAACTGATGTAGACTATTGTACCGTGGCAGGGGCTGGTGTTGAGCGCAGTGGTAGCTGTGAGTCTAGCAGCCCCCGGGCTATACCACGAGGGTGGCTACCACGGACCTCTGGCCGTGCCTCACGTGCTGCCCGACGGTCACCTGGCAGACACACACGAGGTGGCGGCGGCCAAGGCAGAGCACTTCAGCGCCATAGCCAAGGCAGCGGCTCACTCCGGGGCCCACCATGGGGCCTACCACGGGGATGGGGCTGCCTACAGCGATGGCTACGCGGGGGCCTACACCCACGACGATCATGCCGACCTCAGGTAAGCAATGAGGCACAAACGAGATGTGACGAGTGTGGGATCAGGAGATGATTGGTGGTCTCAAGACCCATATACTAAACTCAGACTACTGTGAATACTATAGCCTACTGAAAGTATACAAAAAAGGCATATACCATCGGTTGGGAATAACTTCCGTAAACCCAAAGATTTATGCAACTCCATTGAGAGCAATTACATATGTATAACACTTTTATACCATTTCTTACTATCATGATCCGATAACATGTAAAATTCTTATTAACAGAAGAATGCCATGTACTCTCGTAGCTATTTAGTCAGAAGTCATGGCAAATCTCCAGTAAAAAGGTCGGTTTGAAATAAAAAAGTATAAAAATTCGATGATCGCAATTTTTTCAATTTTAGTTTAAATATGGAGATTAAATATTTCCAACGATGGATTTTCTGCTTCAAATTGTTCAGGAGTAATTTGTGTACAGTTTAAGTTGCGTGAGATTAGTTACTTATTAAGTTACTTTTTAATACATTTATATGAATTTCTGGTCTATTAATTAGGAAAAATATTTAAATATAATACTTTACAGTATGAATATTAAATGAGATTGTTTAATAATTCTTTACAAGGTTTTCCATATTTTTGGTTGCTCAAAATCTCTAAAAGTTAGGGTAAATAATTTGTATAAATCAAACTTTACTACAGAATTTAACAAAAAAAACATGACTTAAAAGTCGGTAAATGTGTGGTCAAATCAAATGGCCATTATCAAATGGGTGGTTTGATCTTATTTTGTAACAACCATTAAAATAATATGCAAACCACGGATATTACAATGAGCAATGTTTAAACTGTTGTAATCGTTTATGAAATGACTGCAGCTGGAAACAATCCGCCACTGTAAGTAACTTAACATAGTGACAGGCTGCGTCAGTTACGTGCAAGCTACATAAGTGAAACATTAAGTGCTCTTGACTGATTAAATTTCTAGCTTCGTGTAAGTTAACATAATTAACAGTACCATATTGTTTTAAATTGCAACGAGCTATCTACAAAAACATATTAACCTTGACTTAAGTGAGTGTTTTTATTTCCATGTTCAGCTGGCTGTCATAAGCACTGCGTCCGCGCTTGTCCTGTTAATGTTGTCCTTATGATAATCCATCTTGTTAGAGCCCAATTAAATCACTTATTTCGTTTTTACACAGCCTACCTAGCAATTACTGTGGACATTATCCATGTAACGTAATACTGTTGTTTTATAGTTGCACCTGATGGTAATTGTTTTAAAATGTTCTATGATGTGAACATAAACATGCCATTGTAATTTATCCGGTCGAAAAGTAAAATGATTCTTAACACCAAAAAATCTTTGACCACAAACACAACCTGGGCAGGCCTTAGGTTCGCAGTTATAAAGTTGATATTATGTAATCTACGTATGTGAAATATTTTTATTTGGGGTCAGGTTGGCTTATGTAAGATGTCGATGTTTATATTTTAAAGATGTTTAAGTTAATTAGACCAAAGTATTGTTTGAGTAGTGTTGTGTTGTAATATAAGGTCTTATGAAAAGTAGGGTGGAAAACTGGTCGTGATCTTATTATAGTTTCTTCCTTACCTTGAATTCTCATTTGTTAGTTCCGTTGCTAACGTTTGTTTCCTTACCCCTTATTTGTTCTCCAAAACCAAAACCAAAACCAAAACCACGTTTATACCCACCCTAAAACATTAAACGATAACTGTAAATTATTTCAGTCATGATAGATGGCATAACTCTCAATACATTACACGTATTTAAAAATTAAAAAGTATTTCCCGTAGACAGTTTTCAATTCACAAATATTCTTATATGCTTTGTCACTCTTTAGGTACCACGGACCGATAGCCGTTCCACACGTCCTGCATGACGGACACATCGCAGACACTCACGAGGTGGCCGCTGCTAAGGCTGAGCATTTCGCCGCCGTAGCCAAGGCCAAGGCTCACGGAGGACACGGCTACGGAGACCACGACGACTACGACGGTAGGTACGCGGGCGGCTACGGTCACTCTGGGTTCTCCGGTGCGTACCACGGGGGTGCTGGGTACGTGGCAGCCTACCATGGACCCCTGGCCAAGCCGGTGGTGCTGCCCAGTGGCTACCTGGCTGACACTCACGAGGTCGCTGCTGCCAAGGGACATCACCTGAGCGCCCTGGCCCATGCTCATCACTCCGGACACCACGAATATCACCACTAAGCATACTGCTAACTTACTACCACTGTGATACACCTCCTGCAGACGACCCATTAAGTGTTTAGTTATTTATATGTACAAATAAAGTATTTTTATAGTAAACATGTCTCTTCTGTTCTGTTTACATGATGTAGACGTATGTTGGTGTAGAAACTAGGAGGAAATGGCAAAAACTGCTTAGTGAAAGAATTTTCATTCGGCTTTGTACGCGTTTATAATATCCCTAACAAAACAGCTTACATATTCCTCTTGCTGTATTCCTTTTAATGTGTAATGTTTAATGTGTGTTTAATGTGTTAAAACAGTGTAATTATATTGATTAATATCGCAATATTTTACCTTGCTTGGATGTTAAAAGCTGAAAATCCTTTAATTGGATTTAAAGTAAAACATTGTACACTAGTATATTAAATCTTTGACTATTAATATAGTCAATGATTAAAGAAATAAAAAGCCTTTATAACTAATTGCAAAAAAAATTTTTTATTACATTACATATATTATTTGTTCATGGATAAGGAGGGGACCCGTGGTAAAATATGCAGTTTTATAAAATTCATAACTCGTTTTCGAGGCAAAACTAATACAGCAAAAGATTATGTTGGTTTTAGACAGTTATTAGTTGAATAAAATAATTAGTTTTAACTATTCTAAATTGAACTCGTTGATTGCAGATCCAAACCGTCAATAAGTGGTTTATTTACTTTAATCAGGTTACAATTATCACTCAAAGTAGCCTAGGCTATTTTAAACCTATTTGTATTAACGGGTTTGTCTCTAACTCGCTTTACAAAACTGTGGTAAAACATTCAACTAAAGGAAACATTCAGCTTGCTGTAAGGTACAATTCAGATTTACATCCGTTGAGAAGATAGTTAAGCACCATCACTGCATCTTGGAAAGTGGACTCTAAAAATAAATCAAACGCTATATTGAATCGTAGCCGATATTTTAATTACCTTTTTTAGTAAAAATTAGTCACTCAGCTAGATTATAAGTTTTAAAATGAAACCTAAATAGTCAAAATCAGTCAAATAGAAAAGGTTTGAAAGAGATATTACAGATAAACCCCTATTGTATTGAGAATATAGATAAATAGATGAATCAAAACATAAGCAAAGCATTAATTTGTTTGTAACAATCGTGAATTATAAGCAAAACTGAATACACTTTTACTCAATGCATACTTTACTAAAGAAGGTAATCATTTACGTTCGTTTCGTGAGGATGGTTTGCTTAAAAAATAAAATTCCAGGAAAGTAAAAGGAAGTTCATAACCTTGTTTTACAATGATTCTTGTTTTAAACGAATCTTTTTAGAGTAATTGTTTAAATTGTTAAGTTAAACAACATCGTTAATCTTAATCGATCTTACTACAGGAGAGCTTGGATAATAATTTACACAGAGAAATACAGATAATCTAGTACTTGAAATGATGAGGCGTATCGTTTAAAATCGTAGTTAGATCTAAACTGCAGCACGTGAGGTGAGTGCGAGAGAACACAGAGTTATTCCCTGCTACTGTACACTGTACAGTACGCGAGTATACATGGGAAGGTAACCGTGGTAATTTGTAGTGAGAGAGTGATCTCTACAGCTTGTGTAACTGATTACCCTATTGCAATGTAATAGTGTAACCTCTCGTGTTGTACAGTGTGTGTTATGGGATAATATTTCAGTTTCTGGCTCCCATAGCGTACGTTACGTGTTTGTTCACTCGTAATTGTATACATGTAATTGGTGATTTGAAGTAAATTATAATGTTGGACTGTCCATGTTCACATGAGTATTATGATTGTATCCCATGCTAACAAAATATATTTATAAGTGTTGGATTGGTTTAGGAATACACAGTCTAATTAAGATGATGAGCTCAACAGTCAAAATCTTTATAAAATGGTTGGAAATTCAACCTTTCACGTTATTGAGAATTATGATAACATGTGAGCCTACAAAATAAAAAACAAACGTTATTTCTAGCACTGACAATTAAATAACAAAATAATCTTATTTCCAACCTTTGATCTCAAAACTCTAAAGCAGCAACACTTCATATCGTAAAAGCTGTTGCCATTGAGACCTAGGCATTTTAAGCTGAATAAAGTATCCAAATGCTTGTTTAAATTTGGCAAACTAGGGTCAATCTGTAAGTTATCATCAAACCTATTTAAGGGGTATCGGTAAATATGTAAACGGTATCGGTTAGGTCCTTAACGTGTTAAAGATACATGCAGTATATCTTATTCACCCTGTATACTGTTTAAGCATTACAATACACAATGTGTCCCATGATTATTCTTTTCCAAATCTCTTACGAAACATTGTTACCATTTAGTACCTGTTTCTTCTTATTTGTGATGTATACAGCCTACATTATGTTAATCCTAGCGTATTATATATTTTACTGTAGGCTACTTACTTGATGCGAGTGCCCTTAGGATAAGTGAGTAAAAATACAAATTACTACGGAAACTCAGTAAAGAAAATAAATAGCACATTTACTTCCAATTAAACCTTATAGGTACTTACAGATTACTAGAACTCACCCCATGGTCGAAAACTCGACCAAAGGTATGTATAGTGCGAACTACTCTATTTCCCCCCACGCTGTAACTGTAAATGTCACTGGAATTTCTTCATTTGTTTTGATTTTCTGTTTATATTTTGTTGTTATTTCGTCACCAACATCAATTTAAATTATTTTTTTTTGTGCTTATTTTTGAGCCTATTTTAATTTATAAAGCGATTCTTGTATATCTACAGGCAAATGTCTTTCCAACAGTATGCGTAGATTTTACCTGTGATGCACAGGAGCTGAGAAAATAGGATTTCAATAAACATGCTTGTCTATTAACATATAGAACTAGCCCCATGTTAAATCTCTATAAGAATTGTTGAATTTCCATTTTTGACCCAATTAACATAAATATTTTTAAAATACAAATAAAACCTGCCCATATAGGACCGAAAACCTTTGTTTTGGTACGTCCCGCGTGTAATTCGATCCAGACGAATGGTCGGGCTAGCTATCATAAGTTTTACTAAAGTTTTTACGTATATAATACGCATTTGGTAATGAAGCCTCAAACATATTGTATAAGTCTAGCCCAAAAGTTACTACAGTCATGATCCAATAATAGAATAGGTCCTATTGTATAGCGAAAGAATACATACAGTAAATTTACTAAGTCGTTTAGATGTTTATTTATGCAAGTAGGGCCTCTACTATTCATTCAATTCATCAGCAGTTTGACATCATATTTAATTCATTCGTTTGAACAGTTCCGATTTCGTCTACGTATCCAGAGATAGATCTCTACCTCAGAGGCGAGCCTGTGGCTGTGTTACCAAGGAATTATAGATGTATCTATTTTTATATGAGTTGCTATTTCATTCAGCCTTCACAGAAGGTCTAGTACTAACTTAACTATACAAACTACCTCTTGGCCGAGACTTGATGCCTTACAAGGGGAAATGCAGTAAAAGTAACGATATCTTGCAACTATCAGCCCGGCGTGTAATGTGCTGTTTGCGATAGCGAAAATACGTAGCCTAACTATTTTTAATAGATATGGGTATGAATGTGTTATTTTAACTCAGTCTTATAAATGTTTTATCATGGTAGTTCATGGAAGCCTTTGTTTAGATCAGACGATTATGTTTTATAATACTTACTGTACTTAGCTGTAAATAAAAAAAGATGTTATCTTCATTTTAAACTTAGTAAATTCCAAATAATCGAGCTTAGGATAGCTTAATGAACGAATCTTATTTTACACATAGGCGACCTATATCGACCTAACTCTTGGTCATACATATAAGTTTCAACAAACCCAACAAAATCCACATACAAATTTATAAATATATAGTTTTATATTACATTTAAATGCAATGCAAAAGCATTATACTTATACTGTATAATATACTAGCAGTTTCCCGGCGCGCGTTGCTGCGCTAACAACTATTATTTTAAATTGTAATTTGTTCTTTACGATAAATAGTATTAGTATTAATATTATTGGAGTGCCTTCTTTTAATGACAGTAATGTGGTGGGTTAATGACAAATTGGGAAGCATTTGAATACCTGAGATAGCACGCACGATTATTATTTACTTAATAATGTATGTTAGATTGTGTGGGTAGAACAAAAGATAAAAATATCAAGGCATTACCATGCCATCTATTGTTTAAAATGTATAATATGTATTGTTTAAAATGTAAAATGATACAGGTTTTTACAGTTTTTTAACATATTTAAAACAGTCGTTGAGAATTTAAACTTTGTAGAGTGTACAGGTGTGCTTTGTCCAAGAGTCAAATAGTTTTCTATTCAACATTGTGGCACTATTTTAAATCATACAGAATGTTGTGATTCAAACCTACTCAAACCTACAAAATAGTTGGTGAAAGTAAACATCTGGTTTTAATTATCTTTATTTGTAAATATTGTAGTTCCAAAAGTCTGACATAAGACCCCCTAAATCCCTCTGGGGCAGAGCCCTTTTGGCAGATCTGCAACAAACTTCACACAAACCATACTTGAATAATAATCCCTAAAAGTGTCATTACAATCTGTCGAACGGTCCCATAACGGAGTCCATAAGGTACATACATACATACATAAATCCATAGTTCCTCTTTCATAGATATAGATTTTAAACTATTTTTAGTGTTATTGTTCATTGAGAAACTAACGAAACAAATGAAAGAACAAAAATGGATTTTCTCACGTACTGAGTAGTAAAAATAAACTTTGACCTGCTGAGGAAATCGACTAAGGAGAAACCCACTTTACTGTTGTAGAAATCCAAACCTTACATTTTTTAAACTATGAAAACTATGAATAATGCTGTAGTCTCAAGTGTAAACATCTGTATATTATTAACAACATTTACAATCTATCAATCTATCCTATTGTTAAGAAGATTTGGTGTCTGTCTGTCTGTGAGTTTGTATGAGCCAAACTGAAAAACTACTGAACCGACTGGGCTCAAATTACACACAAAATAAAGCTACAGCTCCGAGGATACATATAGAACTATTACAGTTTCAATATTGACCTAGGACTCTGTCCTGTGGGTGTTCAAAGTTCTGAAGCAAAAGTCTTAAAAATAAATATTGATTGGCCTCAATGGCAACAAAGTTCAATATAACAAAGTTTAAATGTAAACAAGCAGAAGTGTCAAATGGATTTTTATTTCACAATTCCACACAGCTGGTTCAAACATTAAATTGTATTAATATTAGAACAGAAACTGTTTGATCATAAACATTAATAAATGAAGAAATTCGCCCAAATGTATATTATTTAACAGTACTTTAATGTAACTGACAAGGATTCGTTCGGTTCCATAAATTGTTTATGCTTATGATCCACACCGAGTTTTATGATAATTATTTCCTGGATATATTTTTGTGGAAACAGTAATAACATTACAATATTGTTAGGTTTGAGACTATTGTGATGATGTTTTGTTTACATGACAAACTACTCACTATGATGTTTGACTTTACATTAAAATCTATCATTGACTTTAAGGATAGAATTTAAAAAATTGTCAATGTTATTTTCCTAAAATCAATGGTAGGAGTGTAAATTTAAGGGTCTTGAATTTTGGAACCGAATATGTGACACTTTTTTGAAAAACGAATTGGATTTTCCAATTTACCTCTTCGTAAGTTTTTTGTCGATAACATATTTACATGAATGAAAATTGTGTAGTAATTAGCAACAAGGATATTTTGATATACTAATGGTGGACATATATAATCTTTCTTTTCCCTCAGTGTCAAATATGTTAAATGAGCTTCAAGGAAATAGGCCTTACCATACTCGAAGCATTTGAGTTATTTGTATCTTTTTTATGTGGCATTTATAACTATCAATGATTTTTTATTCACAACATTGCCCTTAGTTTTAGGATTCGTTTTACCTAGCAATTTACTTCCTATTTTTTTTAGTAAATACACTAAATAAGTAAGCGTATTTAAAAAACTTTAAATCTTATAGGTCTACATATAATATGTTCATGAGTGCTTCGGCATCACTTTTACACCATCCTAGGTAGCCTTAAATAAGTGTTCAAAGTTTGAATTAACAAAAACGGATTGTTATCAAGCTAGGTGGTACAGTTGAATTTCTTTTCCAAATTATATGGAGGATGATTTTCAAGGAACCAAAATTGTCTCTTCTGCATCTTGACCCTGTTGCAAGGCACGGGTATACCGGCTGGTCTGTAGAATAAAGGAAGAAACGACTGGCCTAACAGTTGGATCATAGGATATCTGGAGCCACACTGTATAATGTAAGCACGATCTTTTCATTTAAGTATCGTACCTACATTTTTTATTGCTTTTGCTTTAAAGTATTTGGTATTTCAAATTGAAGTTTTAAAATTTGGCTATAAATTACGAACTGAACGTTGTACGTTTGATATATTCATGGTTTATTTGACTTGGTATTTTTCATTTAACTACCACTATGGTACCACTATTGGTATTTAGAACTGTTGTGGAAAAATAAAACTTTATATAAATGGTATTCTTACATCTGGCGACTCAAATGACTTCGATTGCAATTGCTAAATCAACTGTGTTGATAGTTGCCTGTTACTAAACGTTCTTACTTATAAAACTTGAAACTCCCCCAAAGAAGGTGGATTGGCAGGGTTTACCTCATCATAACCTCCAAGAAGCCTATACTTGACTACTTGTAGTTTTCTTCTTCTAGGGTAGTGTGAAACAGAGTTTATTCTAAATATGGCTAATCTGAGAAATTTAAAAATAGATTTATTTTCTGCAGTTACAAGAGAAACTTTAGAACCACCGGAAAAGACATTCTAATATGTGCATGTAGGAACGACAAATCGTGGTCACAATGAAGTGAATAACAACCCATAAACATCTTTAACATGTCAGGAATTTGAAAAAACAAATATTTCTCTAGGTTTTGCAATTTTTATATAATGATTAAATTTCAATATTATAAACACCCTTCAATATTGCAATTCGGAGAACATCCGTCCCCACCTCTGTCTAAGGCGTGTACAGCGGACATGTCACACTCGGATGGGGACGGCAGGGGGAGGCGGCCCTGAACATACGTATATATACGCTACTGATATCTCACCAGGCAGATAACACGTCACCCACACACTCTCCAACACACTTCAACATGAACTCTCTGGTCAGTATGGCACTTAACACATTAAATAACCAAGTTACTCACAAGTACTAGCTTGATTATTAACTAACGATATTAAGGTTTGTTAGTTTTTTAGTAATTCCTATTTTCCTAATATACAACGTTTTATTTTGTCTATTTTACGTTGAACAGGCAGATATTTGTAGAATTTGTAACAGGTAATGTAGGTTTAGTATAGAAAGGTAACAACATTTTAGCTGAAAACCCCTTTTTTAACCTAGGATCATTAAAGTTAAGGTAATCAATACATGCAGTGACGTAAAATAGCTTATACAATTTGCTCCAGTCTGTTTTGCTAAAATATTTTTCCTTCTTCATGCTTTTATATTCCTAACAATTTAAGTTCTCAGGAACTTTAGTAGAATGAATGAATGTAGTTGAATATATTATATGTAATTCATAACAGGCTAAGGAAACATCTTTAGTGCAATTATCTATGGATAGAATATAACGATATTACTGTGCGTATACCCGAAAATTACATTTACATGTTGCATCCAGTTTTAAAATAAAGACGAAGGTAGTTAATTTATCCTCCGTCAGAGTGTATTACTATCGACAATTGCTGATTATTATGGTACACATAGAGAATTGGTACACTCAACTTTTTTAACCAAGCCAAACTAAAATGTATCATTATTTTCAAAGATTTTTGATATTTTCACAACTTGTGTAGTATAGAAACAACTAACTGGCCGAATAGAATGTCTCTATAAGCTTATTCTAATTGTTCAATCAACCAAGTCTTATTTCCATGATAATTCTGCCACTGGTCCATGTAAATGGGGTGGCATGGCTATGTAACCCTGGCGTTTCAATTCTTTGATAATATGTACAGAATATTATTTGTTATAATTATATAGGAAAGTAATAAATAGACAACAGGTAAGATTATACCCGCATACTAGAAACCACGATGATTAGGCCTACTCCTGCATACAAATGTACGCAACAGATATGTATATATAATATATTGTTACTAAACGTCATTTTTACGTGTAACTATACTTAAATGTATTTAGCTTGAGAACCATCATATTTGTTTAATTGTTCTCGTAAATATACATGAACTCTAAACTACATGCACTAAAGTTAAAAAAAAAATATTTAAAATAATTAAGAATTCTTTTATAAACTAAAATCTTATCTATACCTCTCTCTTGACATGAAATGGTTTTGTTTACCTTACTTCATATTTGGGTTTATACTCGTACATGAGTTTAATTTATAAGATAATTACTATATTTTCCAATTTTATAATCAACACTACAGTACTTGTTCTTTATATTTTCAAACAATATCTCTATTAAATGGATTGGTCTGCAGGTGGTTTTGGTAGCCGCTCTGGTGAGCCTAGTCCACGCAGCCCCTAGCTACTACACAGCAGCCCCTGTGTGGCACGGACCCTTGGCCGCCCCTGTGGTCCTCCCCTCGGGTTACTTGGCTGACACTCCGGAGGTCGCTGCCCTCAAGGCTGCCCATGGTGCTGCCCTCGCTTCTGCCCCCGGCGGTTATGCTCCCACCCACGGCTACGTCGCTGCTCCTGAGGCTGTCCACGGCCCCCAGCCTAAATGGCACGGACCCCTGGCTGTCCCCGTGGTCCTTCCCTCTGGGTACCTGGCCGACACTCCCGACGTCGTCGCTCTCCGCGCCGCCCATGCCGCTGCTCATGGACACGGATACCACCACTAGTCCGTTCTCCACACCTCTGCCATGCTCAACCAGTACAAAACTAGATCTGCTCTTACCAAAGGTGGAGCAAATTTTGTGTATTTATTACGATCTGTCAATTGCTCAATAGCCCAATAAAATAAAATCTTTATTACATTGAAGTGTTTAATTAATCATCCATTTACACGTCTCACATACTTATAAACAACGACAAGGGGATGATTCATATCTTATTACTATATTAATTTGCAAGGATATGCCTAATATTGTCACCGTGCAAAATATCAGAAATTTGCCTGTATCAAGACTATTCTTAAACGTCTGTTCAAATCTTCGACTTAGCACTAAGACGGCAGTGTCATATTTAGTAGATGAGGTTAGTGTGGTGTTTATTATTCTGTGACCAGTGTACTACAATAGTATTTTAGTAGTTATACAATAGTAAAACATACACACAGTTAAAGAAACAGGACGACAAAGACCAAATAAGTGCATATCAAATCATAATTTTAATACTGTATTCACAAAAATACGTTTTGAAAACAATTAATATAAGCCAAAGAATACAAGCCAAGTTCAAAATTCATACGTTGATACGGCAAATGATATAAAATCTAACTTATTTCCTATATCAATGAATAATTTATGTTACCCTTAGACCTATTCCATCTGAAATATTATAATACTAGCTACCGTACCCGTGCTTCACAACGGGAAGATGTACTATACCGCCTAATACAAACTCTTGTTAAGTAGTACGAATTTATAAACAAAAAACCACCAAATGGATACAAAAAAGTATGACCTACATTGTAATTGTCCTACTGTTTACATTAAAATATACCAATAAAATTATTTTCATAACATACGGTTATAGAATCTTTCATTATTTGTAACAGGTCAAAAATTAACTTGGGTAATATTTTACGGTCATCCCAATTACGTTCATTTGTTTCATGAAAAGGCCGCAACGAATGCTGGACATACTAGTCGTAAATGTATAACTGAAAAAACACGACCTTCTTACATGAATCAAAATCTATCCATCCATACAATTATAAAGAGGAGTTGTTATCTTACTGGCTAGCTGTGTGTTGTTGCACTAAAAACGTATAAACTAGTGCTCAAATTGCACAGAAATACAGTTACAGTTCCGAGGATACATTGAATTTAATTGCCGCTTCGTTATTGACCTAGGATCTGCCCCGTGGACCATCAAAGTTCTGTTGCGGGAGTTTAAAAAATTAAATATTGGAAAATGTGTTTTGAGGGTCAAAAATTAGAAAACCCATTTTCCCCCCTCATACTCCATCAAGACTCCCCTTAAACTCCATTACCATGATCCGATCGTACTGGTTCGCGAACTCATTCAATTTTATCCTTCCATAGAATTGAAGGAGGCCATGTTTTATCAAAATCGTTGCTATAGCAATTCCGTTTAACCTAACCGTATCATTAGGCTACGTACTTGGTTATTGACAGTCACACTTGGTCACTTTCATTGTATGAGATTCTTGTATACATACCCGTTCTATACATATATTCACAATATATAATTAACTAAAGTGATGTTCTGGCCCTGAGTCACCTGACTCTATTTCTAGACTTGACAGCATAATCAGCTAAAAATGCCTTTATTTTGAATATTTAATCATTGTAGATTAATAACATTGTAGATTTGGTGAGTCGGTGGCTCAGTTGGTAGCGTCGCGGACTTCGGGCCCGAGGCAGCGATGTCGTGGGTTTGGATCCTGGTCACTGATGAAAACATTTTATCAATACAATTCACCTTTGTACTGTACCGGCTCACCCCTTGCTTTGCTGGATACGTTCCACGCACGGGCAGTTAGTCTATGTGGGCGGGCAAATGCAATGTTAAAAGAGGCCACCAACCTCTTAAAAAAATTTCATAACATACACACGTTTGATCGTTTGTAGCGGAAATACAGAAATTTATAATTACAACAGTACCAGCTAGATGCCTATATATATATATATATAGGGTGTGTAAGAAAAAAAATGTATTCTGTATTTTATTGTTTATTCAGACCATATATTAAACAGTTTATCAAGTTAAAAAAAACAGTTCGATTTCATAGACACATCACGAATATGCTGGACCTGGATGTGCTGGTCCCGGATGAGCTGGTCCCGGATGAGCTTGCCCCGTATGTGCTGGTCCCGGATGTGCTGGGCCCGGATGTGCTGGTCCCGGATGTGCTGGGCCCGGATGTGCTGGTCCCGGATGTGCTGGGCCGGGATGTGCTGGACCTGGATGTGCTGGACCTGGATGAGCTGGTCCCAGATGAGCTGGTCCCGGATGTGCTGGTTCCGAATGAGCTGATCCCAGGAAATCTGAGTATAAATAAACAAATCAAGTTTTTTGTTTATAGTAAAGGACTTTTATTATTAATTAAACTTTTATTACTGTTATTACTAATTTTAGTATTGTTATTACCGAAAAGAATAATAAATTAAAATGAAAGTAAAGAATCATAGATGTAATCTTCGAAAAAAATATTACTCAGCAAGTTTTTGACCATTCGCCTAAATACAACTTTATATTTTTCTAGCTGTGGTTTGTCAAGTAGGCCTAGTGTAAAATGTTTTGTTAATATGAAAAATATGTACATGTATAATAATAATAATAAATGCAAATATGTTTTTGTTTCTTGGTGATTTAATTTACCTAACATGTATACAATTAATATGAAGTTAATAAATGTATCAGATTGCCGAGGTTCATGCTTTATTTGGATCAACTTCATCAATCCTTATATTTATACAAGCCAAAATTTTCTTGCAACCCTGTCGTAAAGCAACTTTATACTTTCTATGCTAAACATTAATTGCTTTCTACCATCATTTCGTTAATCGAAAACCCTTCTCAAATTTAATGATTTTTAGGAGGGATGAAAAAAAAAATTTTGTTAAGTTATTGAGATGGTGAGAGTAAAATACATAGGGCTTACTATTCAAATCAGAAGGAATACTTAAACATCGAAATTGGGACGGGTGATGAAAACCCCCCTTTTTAAGCCATCTAGTTTACTGAAGTTATTTAAAATCTTATATAATAAAATATCTCCATCGAAAACCCTGCTTACAGTTTGAATTATGTCAAGTGAGACTATAATTCATAATGTAAATAAAATAAAAGGACAACCGGTTGTTCAAATCATGTGTGAACTCTTACCATGGTAAACAGGATAACTCTGCCAGTAAGGCTGGTAGTAAGGGGCTGCGTGGACAAGGCCGACTATACAGGCTATCAGGTACACCTGAAACATAGCAATAATAATTGTCAATCAGTACCAGAGAACATAAATGGCCAACGGCCATTAGATTCATTGCCAGTTGTTAAACTTATCTACACTTAAAGTTACAATAGATGCTTTGGTGACAATCTTCCATGTTACGTGGTGACCTACCCTTGTTAGAATCTACGTATTCATACAGCTTGGGTTACCTTTCTTAGCTCGTTATCGCTATTGGATCCAATGGAGGAAACCCCATATAAAATTATTGCTTCTTCAGTTTCGTACTGCTGCATGCCAATTGAAAGTGAGGTAGTCTATTTGTATAACCCAGGGCTTCGCTGCCTGAACTTTGGGATTCAAATTCCGCAAGTCACAAATGGCTTTTGCTATTTCAATAATGCCACGATCATCTTGGTTAAAGCTTGAAGTAGTGTGTATAAAGGTTTAAGGCTTAGTATCTTAGGATATGAGGTTGGAACATGAAAAATCTTAAGCAAGCAACCTCGCTCGCTATAGTTTTAAACTCGTTAAAACATATTAAATCTGGGCTCATATCTGGTAACGGTTAACGGCCAAAGGCCTTGTGGTGTCACCTGAAAATAAGTTAATTTCTTTTCATTTAACGAGGCTAATATGATTTAGGCCAAACTGTTGAAAACATTTTTTACCTACGACCGTTTTTTTAAGTAGTCGTTTCAGTTTAGTTCTTAGAACTGAAAAGTTTCCCATAACAGCATCGTTTACTTTCATAACAACATAGTTTTACTTAACAACACGGGTAACTGACCAATGAGGTTTAGGGAGAAGAAGTAAAATTGTAACTATTCGAACTTCAACTAATCAGCCGTTCAGACCAATTTAATTGTTGAGTGGTGCAATTAGTGTTTAGTATAATGTTTCGTGTCATCGCTGTCAGTGGCAATGAGAGGTTATAACCGAAAACATAACCTCTTAAAAGTTATGAGAAGTGGTAATTAAAACACTGTCGTGACTACACTCGTTAATATAAAATAACAACAGGTCCAAAATATTATATTATTCCTACATTTTATTATGCTTAGTTTTATGCTTAGTGGTTATTATGCTTAGTATTATGCTAAGTTGTATGCTTAGTATTATGCATATTTTATAAAATTTCATTGTTCAGTTTTGTTGGAAAGTATCACGCACATTCTACGCACATATCTATGCCCAGTAATATAAAGTTTTTATCGTTCTGAGGGATTTTGAACTTAGGAATACGGTATACGCTTTCCTGTCATAACAACGACAAGTTGTTTGCTACTATCTCACTTACTTATTATACTCATACTACATCAACTACTCACCGTTGCGGACATGTCTTCAGTCTTCAGTCTCTCCTGGTGACAGAACTACTAAGCCGCCCAGTCACCCAACTACTAAACAACGCCGCCCAGCTACTGAGCCACCCCGCCCATCATTGACCTTGGCTAATAACTGGACACAAATGATTATAACACCTTCCGATATTATCTAACGACTCTTTTCTACAAAACCGGATTTCACACCGAATGGTCATTTTGCATTCAACAATGTTATATTTACATATTCAGGTTAATATTCATTCTTTGTATGTTTAATACTGAACGCCAACTTTTGAATTTTTTTTAGGAACACTGACATCATAGTAAACTAATTTGTGCCTTTAAATAATATTGTGGTTAGTTACCCAATCAACAATTAATTAAGTTGATTAATTAACAACATTAATTAACAATTAATTAAGGTTAATATTTTAAGGATGCCAATGACTCCAAAATGGATGAATAGTTCAGAGTTTGCTAATCAGTCTACTAACTGTACCAATTACTCCATAACAGTTTGGTCTTTAAATATTTTTTTAAATTTAAAAATGTACACTATCATAATCGTACTAGGATTAATTTCCCAAACAAGAACTTATGTTTAATGGAAGTTTACATGCACATTGTTCAAATTATGTCTGAGCTAAACTAACTCCGTACGACCTATTTATGTTTCATATAGGTTTTATAAGAGTAAATCAAACCTTCTGAAAACACACCTTTTATCTTTGACCTGTTTCACTTAGACAGTAAATATATTTGATCACTGACAATAATTTTTTCTGTGATTTGAGCTAATAAAAGGTTGGATCAATAGTTATGCACACTCTTTATAATGTGACTTTAAATCGATAGTGAGTAATTGTGCTGATAAATTTAAATACAGTATACTCTAAAAAATACTCAAGACAATTGAAAGTAATTATTTCTTTAAAAATGCATATTCAAATTATAAGTCAAATAATTAAATATTAAATATCAGGCTTATAAGTTAAATATTATATTAAAACTATATAAGAAAAACTCAGTTATTTACATTATTAACCTTTTTTTCTTGAGCAGTAATACAAATCCTCATTAAAAGCAGGCCTACTTTACTACAAATATGTATTGCGGTAGACTGGGAAATTCTGAACTTGTTTATATTGTAAAATATAGAAACGACTTCGTTGACAACTTGTCGTATATAAACAAGCGTACTTCAATATAAACATTTAATAGGATTCTTCCACAACTTTTAAAGTGTTTGTTTCTAGGTATAACTCAGTTTTTCAATGTTTTATGTATGCATTTTGGTTACACGAGTAGTCAATTGACTTAACTCTCTAGACTAGTAAGTGTACCATGAAAATAATATATATTCAGCTTTATAAATAAAATAATTAAGAAAGCAATACAACAAATGTATTTGTTGAGTCTCAGGATTATTTTTATTTACTTTTTGAACAGGGAAAAGTTAAACTAAACCAAGTTGCGTTGACCATTCTGCAAACGGTTAATTCAATGATTGACAATTTCTACCATCAGCTATCAGCTCCTATCAGCTAATCACTAGCTAAGTTACTGATTTTGTGTTCATAACCTAAGACTATTTTTGGTTTCTAAGCCAAAAGCGTTTTAAGTTTTCAATCTCTCGTACCGAACTCTCGTAATGATAAATGTTAGCTAATCAACAGTATCCTAACAGTATTCTGATGTTGCTGGATCTTTTAATCCAGCATAATATTATAAAGAAAATATAATTACTTGGGTATGTGTGAAAACTTTGGATACGTTGGCCCAATAACTTTAAATATAACTTAGGAAAATTAGAATAACATTTTACTATAATAGTACTTTTATTTCCTAGGAAATATACATAAATACAATTTAGACGATTTGGTTGAACAGTCTGTTGTACTCTTGAGGCGTCATTGAATCTGTTTGGCGTAGGTTAGGAATGATACTGGTTACTGTACAGGTTATAAATAGACATTATTTACAAAAAGCCCAACTGAGGTCTCCGCAGATCTGGCTCTATGTAGTTGATGGGGTCCGGGTAAGGTTAATGGTGGTAGTAGCCGTGGCCGTAGTGAGGGTAGGCATGTCCGTAGCTGTAGCCGTGGGCATAGTTGTGGGTGGCTCCGCCCTGAGCAGCGACGGCGGTCAGATGGGAAGCCTTGACGGCGGCGACGTCGGGAGTGTCGGCGAGGTAGCCTGAGGGCAGCACGTGGGGAACGGCCAGAGGTCCGTGGTAAGCACCGTGACCGTAGCCGTAACCGTGTCCGTAACCGTGTCCGTAGCCGTATCCGTAGCCGGGGCCGTAGCTCCCGGAGCGATGGGAGGCGGCGGCGACAGCAGACAAGTGCGCTCCCTTGGCGGCGGCGACCTCAGGAGTGTCAGCTAGGTAGCCTGAGGGCAGCACGTGAGGGATGGCGATGGGTCCGTGGTAGCCGTGGCCGGCGTAGGCGTAGGGGGAGCTGTAGGGGTAGCCGTGACCGGCCCAACCGTATGCTCCATGGTACGCTCCGGCGTAGCTGGCACTGGCTGCGGCCAGGCAGGCAACCAACACTACCTACACAACAGACATACAGTGTGTCACTAACATGGAGACAGCCAAGATTCACAGAAAAGCACCGCATATAATGTATAAACAAAGCTAGTAATTTCTATAAAGCATGTGCAATCGGTAAGAAGTATTGGTGTTTCCACATTTTCAGTTTTACCATTATTGATATTTATACTATTTAAAGTTAGAATTTAATATTTAAAGTTTATAAATTTGTGCTATTAAAATGCTCATTCTAGTGATACAAAATTGAATAAATCTATAATGGTGACATTAAAGTAGTTTGACGTTGAGGTAATAGCTAACTCATTTTTAGACAAATTCAGTTTTATTTAACGAATTCAAATGGTATTAAAAGTTAAAAGCAAAAGAACTTTAAATACCTTTTTGCATACAACGGTGGACAAAGAATATTATTACCTTTTCCTTTTTGACAGTCACATTGCGCACAAAAAGAGATTTAAAAATCAATACAATATTACGCGTTTTCTTAAGAAAAGGATATTTTTAACATTACAGTTTACCGCTTAAACTAGCGAAAAAACTTAGTTTATCCTGCTATACCTGTAGACACCCTTAGGGATTAAATAGTCATAAAAAAATTTGATATGAAGTAAGTTAATAATATTTAGCGATTTAATAATATTTATCGATTTAAAATTACATTTTGTACTAAACATATAATAAGTATTAAACGGATTTTACGTATAACATATTTATCTTTTAAAATATATATTAGCACTATTTTCCCTTGTAAGAAATATTCTCTTTTTGACCGATTCTGTTGCATACTATAGTTTTTACATTTTATATTAGGTTCTTAAAATTGACTTAGGTTTTAAACTGCTGTAATTATAATGACTTACGTTTGCTAATTGTATCTCATACCACACAAAGATTTGATTATAATTAACATTATTGTGAAAAATACATAATACATTGGTTTGTCGTTGAAGACTTTTTTAGATGAATAATGAATAAAATGAGTGAATTAATGATAAGATTAAAACTCATTTAGGATTCAAAGCTCTTTTAAATAATGCATTTGTTTTGAATTAGCATAGCAGACTGGTGAAACTATAAATATTCAAATGCAGATTTATCATTGATATGTTGACGGATTATTGGATTATTCATAGATTGATTGATGGATACTTACCAATGAGTTCATGACGCGAATACACCAGAGAGACCTGTGTTACACTCCGGTGACAAGATAGGTTTAAATAGTACGAGACAAGGTCAGGTGCACTAGGAAGTCCACACCCTTGCCGCTGTGCTGTGTGACGTGTTATGCAAGCGTTATACTGTAGTAACAAGGCCACGGTCAGGCGTGACGTCACCGTGGTGTAACGCCGAACAAGGGTTGTATGATGACGTCATTCACATTTGTGTTTTTAGCTGGTGGTGATGGCGTTATGCAATAAAATCCAAGGTACTGTTGTTGGGTTATAGAACTGACTGATTTTGCTGGTTCTTGATCTAGCCTACACAAATAATTTAAGTGAGAACTTTTTAGCTGATAAGGACTTTTGGATTGAAGACTTTTCGCTACATATTTTACATCAAACACTCGTCTAGGTGTGAAAATTTTCAAATTGGCTTAAGATTTTTAATCTTGAAAATAGCAAAAGATCAATTTATTTTCATTTATAAAATTTACAGTTCAGAAAGCCCAGCTGCTTAGTTTGCTAATCCACTAAAACCAAATCCAGATTTACTGCCAGTTGAGATGGGGATGCAACAATGAGTGGTTTGACCCAAATATGAGTGAACGATTACTGTATAATTTGATCGGTTTTAGAAGATGACAATAAGTATACAATTTTGTTTGCTGTTTAAAATTATGAAAGTTAGCCGGTCAGATAAGTCATTAAAATGGCAAATAACTATCACTTATGTTAAACAACAAATAATATAGCTTAGCAAGTGCTCTAGCCCAGGGTGTACAGCCGACCGGAAACCCCAGGACTTGTACTTAGATTTTTGGGACTTGAGAAAAAGTTGATAAATTTTATTTCTTATATGACCGGGAGATTTCATTTTTATTTTTTTATAATTATCAAAAAATTTCATCTGAAATAATCACAGGTTGTTCTCTTTTAAACCCGTTTTGTCAGGTAGACATTCGCTAAGATGCTGTTGCAATCACAGATGATATTAAAAATATTAGCAATGACATCTGTATCTGTAGATTCAGTTGACACCAATGCTAATGACAGTTCTGGGTAATGTAGTACCTTAATGCAAACCTTAAAGGAAGTGTCTTCATCGAAACCAGTTAAAGTCTTAAACTTGGCACCTTCTTCATGCTAATGCAAAACTTGAAAACGACCAAATTTGAATGAATTTTACTGGCTACAGGCTAGTGACACATTTAGTACATATCTTTAAGAGGGTTAAGGTAAACCAACCATCTATAGTTATATAAGTTAGTTACTTACTTCCAGTAGGACAAGCAGCTCACGTAGTTAGCCTTTACGACACTAGTAGAAGTTTTTGAGGTTCGTGCCTTAAATTTCTACTTGTGTCGTATTGTATCGTAGACTATCTGTACACGTTTTTTCATAAACTACTATATCAATACAAAGAAATAATCACGGAAAGAAACTCATGCTCTTCTCTAGATAGAAGCAGTAAAAGTCCCATAAAGCGATTAATGTTTTGTTTCAATTAACTACATCTTTCCTCGTTGATCTCAGATAAGTGGGTAATCTTGTAAAATTCGTTTTTACTCTTTGAACGAGGTAGTAAATATTTGTAAGTTTTCCGTTCAAACCCTCACTGATTTTAGATTTTTATTAACTATACAATCAAGGATTGACTTAACCTATAATAATAGCTAAATGTGACAAGACTAGGGGAATCTATTTTAAGTAACTCAAGGTCTTGCATCCAAGAGTCATCCCAGGATTCCCTGGCTTGGAAATCGCGTAATATCCAATGACTTGACAAACCAAGAAATAGCAACAACAAATCCTAAAGATCTGGTTTTGTGTCAAATGAGGTTTTGATTTATAGTTTAAAATAAACCACGGAACATTGAGTTTGATTGGACCTCAACCAGGTTTAATGAGAGCCATGAAGCTCGTAGGAATAATTTTATTCTAAGCTAATCCATTTCCTTAGAGGTGCCTTATATGTTTTTACGTTTCCACTGTGTAATAAAGAGAAGCGGATGCTATGGCATTACTGATGAAATTGATTATTTTAATCTAAAAATTTTATGATTTGTTTGTCAGTTTTACTTATGTAGAATCGTTATTGTAGGATATTTTTGGGGAGGAATTTGTTCAATTGGTTTTCAGAGTATTTTAGTAAGGCATAACAAAACTCTACAACAAAAGATATATATATATATATTAACAAAAAAATATAAATCTTTACGTTTAAAACAGAATAACTTTAACGCCTATTTGGAATTTTCTTTATTCTATAGCGACGTTGATACCTTAACGACATTGCCCCAATATACTTGCTCGGCTTTGCCAGACTATTATCCACGTAACTGGGCCAGTAAACGCCCGTTACAGCCCCAGTGGCGTAACAACCCGGACATTGGGGTTTGGTCGGCAAAAACAGGTGCAAGTGGTCCGACCACACGGTATCATTATCATTATCTCACCAATACGAGAAATAAGCGGCAGTGGCTCTAGGGCAAGATCAAGGTTATCAGACTCCAAGAGGCAATGAGGGGTTTCAGAAATGTAGTATTCATTATGAGAATAGATAAGTTAATTTTAACTTTTATTGGGCATTGCTTATGTTTTTGATTGTTCTTTTTTAAATGAAATGGCAACTTTTACTATTACTAATGATAGAAATGCGGTTCGTAGTTAAGCATTACCGGTATTATTATTGTCAGTTCGTCTACGATTCTCTAGAATTACCAATAGATTAGGTATTTATACATTTATTTTGGTGAACGGATTGAAGCCATTGATATCGGAATAATTTATTTTTCATCTATTTTTTATAGAAAATTAAGAGGCGGTTCACGAGTACGGGGTTTCGTGGCCCGCGGTTATCGTTGGTCTCGACCAATTTTAACCGACGGTCAAAAAATGGGTTCACGACATAGAGCGTTAGCCGAGATCAAGCTTAGCCGAGACCAACGCTGGCCGTCGCTCAAGAGCAGGGATTAACTGGGAATTTTCGTTGGGAGGTTGGCAACAGCCACCTGCCGGGCCGCTGCTCGCGGTCGACGAGCCCCAAAACAAGAGGATGACATTGCGTCATAATGATTGGTACATAAATTATTATAATTAAACAGTGTATTTACTGATATCGTATAAAAGGTTGTGGACTAGCACTTGAATTCATTTTATACTTAAGTTTAAGGTTACTCAATTTATCATTGAATTATGAATAATACACTTTTACTGAATACATTGAATCTGGAAAATGCAATTATGTTTCAAAAAAAGTTTATACAAATCTTGGTAATGTTTGCAATAAAATTCGATTACCAATTATGTTCAAAAACTTGCTTACTTTATCAGGTTTGAACATGAGGTACTTTAACTGCTTACTTTATTAGGTTTGCAGTTGTATCCAAACGTTAATATTATTTAATAAAATGACTGCTCTTTTCAAAGATTTATGAATATCTTTTATTTATCAGTAATTTGTATAAAAAATAAATTTCGAGCAACAACTGGCTATTATAGGAGCAGAGATGCCTTTATACCTGTACTGTAATAAACGTAAATATAAAATGGCAAAACTACAATAACATTTTATGACATCAAGATCTTTTAAATCGGTTCACAATTGGCTACAAACAGCAGGTCTAAGAACTAAGCCCCTAAGAACATTTGCACGTGCCAGACGGGCAGAGCGTAGCCCTAAGCATGAGAAAACAGGTTATAATTAAAAAAAATATTTTGTTGTAATACAACGTTTTGTATATTTAACTATAGAATTTATCTTTTACCTCAGCAAATTGAAGCAATTTATTGTAAATCCCGATATGACAAATATTAAGACATTATCAGATGAAAAGGTCTTTCTTTAACAAATCTTCAATCATAAAAATAATAATATAAACATATAATTTAAAACATACGAAATAAAATTTGGATACTTAAATAAAATGACCGATGTTTTATATGAATTTTATGGCGGAACAAAAATTGAACTAATTTTATACAATAAAAAATCTTAGACAAACCTAACACCGTTTGATGGAACCATTTTTATTTTGATATGATTCAGCTGAAATAAAAGGATTCAAAATATTAGTTATATTTTTACTTAGTAAATTAATCAAAATGCCTCAACAGTTACTTTTTACGGTGTTTTGCATGTTTTCGCTATCAGTAGTAAAAAATTAAAAAAATAAATATCATGTTGAGGGTAATGAAATTGTTCGGAATTTAATGGCGAATCCGAATATAACATTCTTTTTGCTAACAAAAAAACAATAAACGAGCAAATGAGATAATCCCGACATGATGTCAACTTAACCCTGCCCCCTAGCAGGGTTAAGTTGAAGACCAAAACCATTGTTATTTACGCTCGAGATTATCCAGTTTGCGCTAGACCATGACTCGTGAACCCGACATTTGGCCCGGGGTTTACTCTAATTGAACCCGTGAAGCCGACTTTTTGCGCTCGGGTTTATCCCTGTCATAATTGGGTGAAGTTTATCTGTCTGCGCTCCAGCGCGGGTAACCTCGTACTCGTGAAGCCGATTTCCAAGCCGCGGCGCAAAAAACCGGCTATAACTGGATTTTGCGCTCGAACTAAGGATAACCCGTGACTCGTGAACCGCCTCTGTTATAGTTTTATAACATAAATTCATTTTTAACTGGAGTTTTTTAAATTAACTACTTAAATAAAGTTTTAACTTAAATGTTCATAGGAAACATAGCCCAAAACCAACACGCAAAAGCCTTCCTAGCAAATAGACACTGTTAATAAGTCCCCAAAAGTAATATGTACAATGTAGTAACTACAACAAGCTTTTTCTATCCTTATTATGTCGTGGAGCATCCATGAGGATTCCTCAAATAAACAAACAAGAGTTTCCACCGTTACGCTGAGCATGCTTATCATGCTTAGCATACATGAAACACCTGCTTATACATTATAATGAAGAGAACGTATGTGCATAGTATTAATATATTTAATAGTTTACTATGGAGTTCTTACTCATTTAATTTACAGAAGTATACAATTACTGCTTACAACCAACAACCTAATCGTAAAATTACCATATAAACTGTTGAGTGGCTCAAGCAAAGTCGTAGTATTACATCAAGAATCTCGAG